TCCCAGCTACTCAGGAGGCTGAGGTAGGAGAATGGCGTGAACCCGGGAGGCGGAGCTTGCAGTGAGCCGAGATTGCACCACTGCACTCCAGCCTGGGTGACAGAGAGACTCCATCTCAAAAACAAAACAAAACAAAACAAAACAAAAAGAAAGTACTTCCCTTGGGCCAGCCCGTTGGAGCCCCTCACAATGCGGGCCTTGAGATTAGGGTCTGCCCTGCGTTGTAAGCCCCGCTTGGTGACCTCCAGCTCAGTGGACACGGCTGCACCTGACTTGAGTGTCCCCATTGCCGCTGCCCCACACAAACCCCAGTCACACACAGCCCCACATCTGGCCTCACCCGCCAAGGGCTCAGGTGACTGCCCCCCAGCAGATGTGAGAGCTGGAGGCCAGGGGTTGGGATGGCAGCACTGGCCCAGCTGTCTCTGTCCGCTGCTTCTCCAGCCCTGATGGCACCCTGTGGGCCAGCAGTCCCTGGACCATTGCACAAATGAGCAAATGGAGGCATGGAATTTGGGGACATACTATGCTCACTCAGCCTGACTGTGACTCAGAGTCAAACTGGACCAGAGGCTGGGGAGAGGGCCCTGCCCTGGCTGGGGGCCATGAACACAGAGGGGTGAGAGAATAGGCATCCCAGGCTGGGAAGATCGCCCAGGCCCAGCCGCAGCCTCCGGTTGCTGCAAACCTGTGTCCAGCCTGCCTCAGTCAGGGAGGGAGTCCCAGGCCTGCCCACCCACAGAGGCTGCTGTGACACTCAGGTCTCCTGTCCCCAGGTAGCCCCAGTTCCTGAGCCCCTGTGTATACTGCTTGGGCCTAGGGGTCAGGGCCCTAGAAGCAGACGCCCCTGGCAGCGTTTCCCGGTGTCTGCTGGATATGACCCGGGGCCAGGCAGCGAGCAAGGGTCTCCCAGGTAGGCTTTGTATGTTTCCTTGGTTTATTTTCAGCTGAGGGACAGGGCCTGGGGCACAGTGACTGTGGTGGAGTTGGCCTTCCTGTGCTGGGAAATGGGGTAGTAGGGGAGAAGGGTCCCCAGAGCCCCTGGAGGGGTGAGGAAACCCATGGAGGAGGGTCTCACAGCCTTGGCGGGGGTGGGATGCTGGGCCAAGGCCTCCATCCTGGGGAGAGACCTGAGGACACATGAAGGGCAGGGGCTGCTGGCCAGGAGCCACCAAGCATGGGAAGGGGGCACGAGGACCCTACACTGGGAGACTGGGAAGTGGCAGGGGCTTGACTGGCAGTGCCCTCCCTGCCCCCACAGCCCCACGGGCAGCTCATCAGGAAGCTCCAAGGTCCAGGGTTCCTCTTGCCTGTGGCTGCGACATCCGATGCCTTCCGCCCTGGGGACACCAGCGGCCGCTGACTCCCAGTGAGTGGCTGGCACTGCTGGGGAAGGGCCGGGAACCTGGCCCAGGCCTCCTAGGTGGCCGCTGGTGCTGGTGGAGGGAGGAGCAGACTCGCCAGCTGGTTCTGAAAAGTGAGCCCCGGGATGGCAAGAGTACTGGATTCAGACTAACGGGGGTCTGAGATTCCGGGCCACAGTGCTGAGTCTACACAGCGAGGGGCTTGGGCTGACACTCAGGCTTTGTGAGCACCTACCGAGCACTCTCAGTCATTCCTCACGATGACCACATCGGACGGGGCTATTATTACCCCCAGTTTTTAGATTAGGAAACCAAGGCACAGAGAGGTTAAGTCACCTGCTTGAGGTCACACAGCTGCTTAGAGACCAACTGGATTCAAACCAGGGGGAGCCTGGCCCAGAGTCCACACTCAAAGTCAGGACCGAGTCTCTACACTTCGCCCCACTCCAGCATCGTCGCCTTCTACCCTCTAGGTTGCTATCAAGACAGGATGACAGCTCAAGGACAGGTGTCCTAGGGAAAGACTGGCCAAGCTCAGGGCCTGGACACCTAGATGCGGGGGGAGGGGTGGCTTTGAGGAGGACCCCGAATGTCGGAGCCGTGCAGGCCCCGGCATAACCTGGCCTGGGTCCCAGTGATGCAGTCAGAGCCAATGCGCGCGTCAGCGCCTGGAAATGACACTGGAAGCTCAAGGCCAGTGGTGGCCCTTCCTGCAAACCAGACACCCCAAGGGATGTCTGGGAAGTGGGGAGTGGCCTAAGCGGATGAAAAACCTGGGGCCCACAGCTCAGAGTTCAGGTCCTAGCCATCGGTCCCCGTCTCTGTGCCGCTGTGTCCCTGCTTGTGCAAGGGAAGGACAGTCACGCCCTCTGTGAGGGGTGGGCAGGCAGTGTCTGTGGGAGAACCAACATCACTAAAGCAGAGAACGCGGGAGGCCCTGGCCCAGGAGGCCTTCGGGGAAGGGCAGTTGCTTCAGGAAGGAGGCTGGAGGGTCCCCTTGGTGCAGGAAGCCAGCTCAGCTGCCCTAGGCCCAGATGGGGAGGGGTGGGGGGACATGGAGCCAGGCCCCCTTCCAAGGAGCCCTGTGCAGATGCACACAAGGACAGGGGCTGGCCAGCCTGGAGGCCCAGCTGTGTGGCCTGGGGCTGCTCTGGAGGGGGTGCCAGCTTGGCTATCTCGGGGCCTTGAACTTTTATTCTGTTTTGCAATCAGTTCAGAAGACGGCATTTCTAGATTCCCTTCTTATCACAGAGAAACTTCTAGCACAACAATAGCTGATTGTACTGCTCTCCAGGGTGCGGCTGCGTTCCTGGACACCCCCCACCCCTTTTTTTTTTTTTTTTTTTGTGGTATCTTTGGAACTATAATGGATCTCATTGTGATTGGTCTGTTCAGGGGACAGTGTGGGTGATTGGTCTGTTCAGGGGACAGTGTGGCCCTTGAATTTAGAAGCATGAAAGGGTAGTGGGGGCTGGGGAGAGGGCGGCAAAGGAGGGTGGAGTGGGAGGGAACCCGGAGACAACCCGCGAGACAGCCAAGAGACATCTCAGAGCAACTCAGCGGCGTCATGCTGCATAACGCACCTGGAAGCAGCACCCCCTGGACTGGCTGGGTTTGAAAATATGTACTTATTTGTCAGACCACCAATGTTTATTTTTGTTCAGTTATTAAGAAATCAAATCAGTAGATAATTTTCACTCCCTGCCCGTGCCTGGCCGGTAGGACTCAGCAGCAGGTCTCATCTGAGTGTGACGTAGCAGCAGCCGGTCAGACCGTGTCCTCGGGAGGCCACCTGCTGCTGCGTGGAGCCAGCGCCTAGGACCTGGGGCTGGGGGACCAGAGCCAGGACAGGCCCAGCGCCTGGTTGGCATAGCTATGTGGCCCGGGAACACTGGGTCTCCAAGGTGCAAGGTCTATCAGTGTGTCCGGTGGGGAGCCTGGCCTGCTGGGGGAACCCCCAGCCCACAAGTAGGTGCTGGCCACTGGCAGGAGGGCCTACACTAGGCCTCACAGTCCTGCCTCTGGCCCAACAGCCTGGACCCCAGGAGAGTGCTGCTCTGGGTGCCACCTGCTGCCACGGTCCCCTCAGCCCCTGGGGACTTCCTGCCCCACCCAGGCTCCTGAGAAAACCCTGGGAGGGATTTCTTAGAATGTTCAGCAGTTGCTGCCCAGCCCAGGACTTGGCAGGAGCCCCAGTGTCCGGAAGAGGGAGCAGATCAAGTTCCGAGGCCGGGAAGCCAGGCATGCTGGCAGGGAGGCCACAGGCCAGCGTGGTGCCTGCCGGGTGTGGACGCTGGGACTGCCACTTCGTGGTGAACGTCCGGTGGGCCTCCTGCCACCCTGCCCCTTGGTGCCCCGTCTGTAAAGTGGCACCTCCCAGGCCCAACTCTTTCTTCACTGGCTGGCCAGGATTCAATGGCGGCAGGTTTCGTTGGCATGTAGCGCCATGCCTAAGACAGAGAGATGGCTCACAAATGGTTGTCACTGTTGTTAAAGAAATAAATATGCTTAGAGAAAATGGCATTTACTGTCTTCCAGGCATTTTCACCGGCTTTGTCCCATTCAGTCTTCCCAGCACGATCCCAGCTCGGAGCAGGGAAGGGGACTGGTCAAGGCCGCCTCCTGGTCAGCTGTCTGGCCAGTGTCCTGGCGGGGGCTGAACCCAGCCGCGTGGCTGGCTCAAGGGGCCATGTGCCACGGAGGCTCACCTGCCTGAGGCTTTATTTCTGCTCTGAGACCCCTTCTTATCAGGGGCAGGGGCACCCCAAGGTCCAGAGGACAAAACACAGACATCAGAAGAGACCCCTGCCCCAATGTCATCTTCCCAGGTAGCAGGGGCCTCCGAGAGCTTGGGGTCTTGGTGGGCTCAGACTTGGCGAGCAGGAGGGACAGCTGGGGAGGGGCCCACACAGGAGACATTCAGAAGCCACTGGGCAGGGGGTCTGGGAAACAGGGGACAAGGCTGGCTCTTTCACCGGCAGGGCAGGCAACCCTGCACTCCATGGAGGCCCTGCTGGACTCGCTCTGAGACAAAGCTCCTCGTCCCTGTCCCATGCAAGAAGGCCTGGAGGGGGCACTGCAGAGCAGGCACAGGGTCCACCAGACACCTTTGGAGGCCCTGCAGAAAGGCCAAGGGTTCTGAGAGCTCAACTCAGAATGAGAGGGCTTTCCTTTCCCACCAGTCTTGGGTGCCAGGGAGGTGGGGAGCTCAGGCCAAGGGAGGGCCAAGGGCTGAGGAAGCACCCAGGATCCCAGGAGAAGCTGGCAATACATGCATGAGCACGTCTCGTCCTGGCTCCTGGGACAGCCAAGAGCACCTGTCCCCCGGTGTTGTGGACAGAGCCTGTGAGCCACCAGGCAGAGCCATGCATGACGAGGCTGTGGCCTGGCCAAGAACAGCCTGTGCCCCACACATCAAAGAGGACATGGTGTTTGAGAGGTGGAGCCTCCAGAGCAGGTGGGGACAGCCAGGAAGGCTTCCTGGGAGAGGCGACGGACGCTCCTGCTGGGCGGAGGATGTCTTGACGTCTCTCCTGCTAGCACACAGACTGCATTAGGAGAGCAGCTGAAGATGGCCTGTGGGGACACCCAGACACCTGCCAAACAGGTGGCAGAAATATCTAAGCTGTTTTTTCCCCAAATAATTTTTATTTATTTATTTATTTATTTATTTATTCATTTATTGAGGCAGAGTCTTGCTCTGTTGCCCAGGCAGGAGTACAATGACACGATCTTGGCTCTCTGCAACTTCTGCCTTCAGGATTCAAGCGATTCTCCAGCCTCAGCCTCCTGAGTAGCTGGAATTACAGGCACACACCACCATGCCCGGCTAATTTTTTGTATTTTTAGTAGAGATGGGGTTTCACCATGTTGGTCAGGCTGGTCTTGAACTCCTGACCTCAGGTGATCCACCCATCTCAGCCTCCCAAAGTGCTGGGATAACAGAAGTGAGCCACCATGTCCAGCCTCAAATAATGTATTGAAGGGAAGTTCACATAACATAAAATCAGCCAGTTTAAAGTGTACCACTGGGCGGCATTTAGTATACTCACAAGGTGGCACAGCCATCATCTGCAGTCGCAGAACATGCTGGTCACCCCAGGAGGAAACACCCACTCATTCAGCAGCTCCTCTTCACCCGCCAGCCCCTGGCAACACTGATCTGCGTTCTGTGTCTATGGATTTGCCTATTATGGATATTTCATATCCTAAGGTGTTTTAAAAAGAGGATTAAAAGGCCGGGCGCAGCAGCTCATGCCTGTAATCCCAGCAGTTTGGGAGGCAGAGGCGGGCGGATCACCTGAGGTCAGGAGCCCGAGACCAGCCTGACCAACATGGTGAAACCCCGTCTCTACTAAAAATACAAAAAATTAGCCAGGCATGGTGGCATACACCTGTAATCCCAGCTTCTTGGGAAGCTGAGACACAAGAATGGGTTGAACCCAAGAGGCGGAGGTTGCAGTGAGCCGAGACCATGCCTCTGCACTCCAGCCTGTGCGACAGAACGACACTCCATCTCAGAAAAATAAATTAAATAAAAATAAAAAGAGGATTACAGAGCCAAAGGAGGTAATTGGGTTCTAGTCCCCAGCGCACATTTCCAGCTGTGTGGCTTGTGCACAGCACTGCATCCCCCCCATCTCAGTTTTGTCATCTGTAAAATGGACATAAGCATGTCCACAGTGGGGCTGTCGTGGGGATACAGGGCTCATCCAGGCAGAGCGCTGAGCGCGGTGTCCCAAGGCCGTGGTGCGTTGTAGCTGTTATTGACACGGGTGCCGAGTGTCAGGTGTCAGGATGGTGTGGGACGTGGACAGCCAGGGGCCTGGGAGAGCAAAGCCTGGAACAGCAGACCTGGCTCTCCACAGAGCAAGGCTCATGCATGGAACTTTGAACAGGCCACAGAATCCTTCCAGGTCTACGTCTGCCCCTTCCTACCTCCGTTATGCTGGGCTTCAGTTTCCCCATCTGTGAAATGGCAATGTAGACCTTGTAGTGCTGGAGGGACTGAGCCTGGCATTGTGGCGGGCAGAGGGGTGAGGGGGTGCTCAGGGAGGGGTAGGGCTGTGGTGGGGACCAGGGAGGCCTTGAGGGCAAATTCCTGGAAGGCATAACAGCTGGCCGATGCCAAGGCCACAGTGATGGGGAGTTGAGGGGGAGAAGGGTGGGTCCGGGAGCAGGCAGACAGTCCCGGTTCTGCTTTTAAGCAAGTGGCTGAAGGCCTCCTGTGCTGACTCCCCTGGCAGGTGATCCATCAGCTCAGCTGTTACTGTCCGGAGCCGGCAAGGTCCCATAAATGCGCCCGCCCCCACCCCCTGCAAGTCAGTCAGGTTTTATGTTGTAAGAACACTGTGGGGCGTCTCAAACACACCACTAATGACAGGCATCATGAAGCAATAAAAGTGATGGGGCTGGTGGGAGGGTGCTGGCGGGAAGGGCGGGGGGCTGCCGGTGCCCGGCTCCCCTCACGGCTGCAGGAGCTCTCCGAGAATTGATTAGTCTTGGACGTGCTGACCTTTTTGTTCTTGAAAAATTGCTTTTGAGCAGCTGAGGCAATAAAAGTGAATTGATTCAGAGAGAACGAGGATGAAATTTGCGTTGGGCAAGGAGCAGTGCATAAACGCCACTGATGTCAGCACAGCCGTCCCCAGCCCCAACTCCCGGGCTACAGGAGGGCAAGCCCCGGAGAAGCCGGGCAGGGTGGGTGCTGTGGGGAGGGCCGAGGGGCAGTGGGGTGGGCAGGGCCTCCTCAGAGGTTTCAGCAGAGAATGGAAACTGATAGCGAAAAGGGGAAGGCAGAGGGACGGAGATGAAATAAAACCAAGTGAGAGCATAGGGAGAGGAAGAAGCCAAGAGAAATAAACACCCTGCAAGAGAAGCAAGGGACACTTAGGCTAGACCTCGGGACCGCAAAACGGAGGAGCTGGAGGAGACCTGGGGCAGGAGTGAGAATCACATAAGCAGTCACAGGCATGACAGCCACACTCATCCTCACAAAGCCTTGTTTGTTCCCATTTTACAGAGTGAGAAAGCCGAGGCCCAGAGAAGTCAAGGAACCTGCTCAAGGTCACGCAACTGGGACGTGGTAAAGCCCCACTAAGTCCGTCTGAAGCCAGGCTGGGGCCTCCAGTGAGTGGGAAAAGCCTGGAGGGGGCGCTGCAGAGCAGGTACAGGGTCCACCAGACGCCCTCGGAGGCCCTGCGGAAAGGCCAAGGGTTCTGAGAGCTCAACTCAGACCTTGGCAGGTGGGGAGCTCAGGCTGGGTCACCGTCGGCATTGAGAAGGCAGTGGGGCAAGGGGGTGTCCCCAGGGTTCCAGGTAAGAAGCCACAGAGAAGCATCACAGGCAAAGTTTCCGGGTGCGGAACGATGGCGCTGGGGCTCAGCCACCCTGGCCAAATGCCCCCGCTCCAATGCACCCCACTGTCCGCACCTAAGCCCATTTCCTCACCAGAGCCCTTGGGAAACCACAGAAGCCCAGGTGTGTAAAGGCAAAGGGGAACGCTCACCCACCGCAGAGCCAGCCGGGAAGTCCTTGCTGGCGCTGCTCTCCAGCGCTGGGGCACTTGGGCGGCCACATGCTGCCACCCAGGAAGGCAGGAGACCCGGGCTCCTCCCCAGGATCCTGGCAGGCCCCTTCCCTTCTGAGATGATAGAGGCGGCAAGGCCTCCCCGACTTCTGTGGGGGCTGGGAGTGTGTCAAGTTCCCCTGTGTTTGCAGGTGCCTAGGGTGGGTTGCTGAACTGGAGCCTGCCCCAGTCCCGGGAGAGAAGTTAAGCCATGTTTCACCCCTGCAGCTGCCCAGACCCCTTTCTACCAGGATCCTGGCACAGGCTGCTTGGCCAAGTTCATGGGCCCCACTCCCGGGTTTGGTGCCAGTGGGTTAAGATGGGGACGCCTATAACTTTTTGGTTGGAATGCATGGCCTTGAGTGGTGACTAAACGCCAAATCAGGCTGGTGTCAAAGGTGGTTAATGTCTCTCCAAAATGCAGGCACTTCATGGGAGGGGCCCTAATCACAATGACTGCCAGCAGCTCCTAGCCTGGGCTCTGTGGGCCATCAGCTCCCAGGGTCCAGGAAGAGGCAGGTCCGGCTGCTGCCCTCAGTCCCCAGCCGACCCCAGAGGGACCAGCCCAGAGTTGGATGTCACTTTGGACATCCTGGATCCCACCTGAAGGGACCCTGCCACCCACCACCCATGGGCACTGCATTTTGCCGAGCCCCGCCCAGACTCCGGTTTGTGCCTCAGCAGATGCCTCACAGCTGCAGGCCCTCGCTCCTCGCCCAGCGCCCGGAGAAGGCTGGGGAGGCCTTGCCACCTCTATTGTCCCAGAAGGGAAGGGGCTTGCCAGGACCCTGGGGAGCAGCCTGAGTCACCTGCTTTCCTGGGTGGTAACACATGGCCGCCCAGGTGCCCTGGTGCCGGGGAGCAGCTCCACCAAGGACTTCCCGGCTGGCTCTGCGGTGGGTGAGCGCCCTCCCTTTGCCACCTGCACCACTGCCCTGTCTGCTGCAGGGAGCTTCGCTGAGTCGCGGGGCGTTTACGCAAAGGCCCCCCTGGGGCATCCCCAACCCAGACAGCCTCGTAGGGCAGGGGGGCGAGGAGGGTGGGCTTGGACCCCCGCGATGCGCTGGGAAGCTCCCTCTCCCACCCCACCTGTGAATCCCTCCCACCTGTCCATGCCCCTCGGACCCTCGATGGTCCTCGCACACCCTTTCTACTCACGGGGCCCAGGAGGATGACAGGAGAACCCCCAGGCTCCTCCCTGCCTCGGCGACCCTCCTCGCCCCACCAACATCTGAGCAAGACTTACTGGAGCCAGTGCAGGAGAGAAAGCTGCTGTTACCGTCGCCAGCCCAGCTCAGTTCCAACCTGCCTGGCTGTTTGCCTGCGAGGGCCCCAGGAGGATAGGAAGGGATGTATTTCAAGGGAGAAGGGACGTTTCCTTACAGGGAAACAAGCTGAGTGGTCCGTAACTTACCTGAGGCTTTACTGCTAGGGACAGGCAGAGCTGGACTGGGGACCCAGGCTGCTTGACACCCAGTGAGGGCTGCTCCTCCCTCTGCCCACTGGGTGACTAGCTTGCTGGGTAGCACCGGACAAGGCTCTCTCCCTCTCTGGCTGCTCACTCCCAGCTGTAGAGAGAGGTGGTTCCTGGATCAGGGAGCAGTGCCTGCCTAGGGTGCCGGCCTGGGCTGGGCACAGGGCCGAGAAGCTGCTACTCTGCCCCGCCTCCGGGAGAGGTCCTGGCACTTCCAGTCCATGAATAAGGCCTGGCAGGGAGCCGGGCGAGGGTGTGCGGAGGTCAGCGGGGAGGGCCGAGTGGCAGTGCTCTCGGGACTGGCTGCCAGCTGCAGCTGGACCTGTTTGCCTGGGCTGGGCTGTCTCACTTCCCCTGGAGCGGAGAGGCCGCTGGGGAGGAAGAACAGGTGTGGGCAGTGCTTCAGGGGCCTTGAACTCCAGGACGGCCAGCTCCTGCCACAGGGGACCCAGCCAGCAGCGGCCAGAGGCCTGGGAGCCACGTGCTGGAGCCAAGGACAGGGAATGTTGTGAGATTCGTTTGAACCCCTAGCCCCCTTTCCCTGCGGGCTTGGCCTGGGGGGCTAGCACAGGCTGCCACGGGAGGTCTCTTGCCCTGTGTGACAGGGGGTCCCAGCCTGTGGCCTGCAGCCATCGACACCACAACAAGATCCTCGCCTGGGTGTTCTGCAAAACCTCAGGAACCCTGTGGCCACAAACACTGCGTGAAAGTCAACCAAGTAACCCCCTGTGATTATTCATTCATCTGAGGTTAGCTCAGCAACTTTCGGTCATCTCAATCCTGTGGTGATAAAATGCAAATTCCTCTGACAGTGTTGTGGGATTGGGAGTGAGTGTTGCCGTTAGCAGATACCAGAAGTGCTACTGTTACCTCAAGCAGGTGTGTGACTTTCTATGACTTTAAAAGGGACCCTCCCACCTTCTGGGAAGCCAGCCCCCTCTGATCTAGCCAATATACTCACCACTGCCCACATCCGCCTCTCTCCCTGGCACCCAAGACTGGTGGAAAAGGAAAGCTCTCTTATAGGGACAGCCGCCCCTGTCCCGATGGAGGCCGTGGGTCATCCCCTCACCACATGGCCTCACTGGGCTGGGCCCTGCTGCATAGCTTGTGAAGGGAGGTGCTGCTCAGGACCTGAGACGGCACAGGCCGACCACCCCATAAGGATGGGAAGGAAGTCAGGAGTCCACGCTGTGGCACAGGCCAGGGAGGGTGGGCATCCGGAGGGGGAAGTGGAGGCTTGACCTGCCCTGAAGGAGAGGGGTGTGGGTGGGCATTGGGGTGGATCATGCTGTAGTGGAGAGGTCTGGCCAGAGCAAGCAGGCAGATGCAGTCACGGGGAGTCCAGCGAGGCGGACAGCCCCTCGCCCTCATCCTGTGCTCAGTGGCGGGGCGCACTGCAAGCTCCTGCCTTCATCTGTACCCCATACACCACCACACCACAGACCACCTTGCCCTGCCCTGGATGCAGGAGGACACCTGCACCTCACAAGCCAGCTTGGACAAAACTGAACTAGAAAAACGAAATGCCAGGGTCACTGTACTGTGCCTTCCACCGAGGAGGTGACTCGATGTGTGGAAGGCGGCTTGCCTCTGTGTCTGTGCAGGGTGGGTGTGTTTGTGTGTACACCATCCACAGACAGGTGCTCGGTGTGCAGTACATGCACACATACATGCACACACACATGCACACACGCACACACACGCGCACACACATGCACACACATGCGCACGCACATGCACACACGCGCACACACACGCACACACACGCACACATACACACATACACACGCACGTGCACACAGAGGACATTTGGGTCAATGTCTTCCCGGGGTCTGTTGGTGACACACTAAGCCCTTTGCAAGGGAAGGGACTTTCCAGGGACCCTGAGCAGTGTCCAGTGGAGAGGCAGTCATCTCTGCCCGCAGCCAGAAGTGGCACCTCCCCGCCATTGTGCACAGGAGAGAAAGGACACAGGCTCCCTGAGGCCCCACGCTTCCCACAGACACCCCCCTTCCCGCACAGTCCTGGGCAGCTGGCATTTTGGGTCAATCCACAGTGGCTTTAGTGGTTGACCATGGCTGAGAATATTTTGGGAACTGCCTTTTAGAATCGGTTGACAAGACACATAGATGCTGCCGTCCCAGTACTTTGCAGCCTTATCTAGGTTCACCTTGGTTTTCTCCGGATTGGGCAGTAACTCCCCCTTCCCAGAGGATGGCTCACCTTTGTGACCCCACCTGGGTGACTCTTTCTAACCATCATCTCCATCATGGGAGAATGATGGTTTCCCACCAGAAGGGCCACCCGGGTCACATTTGCTGGGATCGGGGAGAGGAGTTCCTGATGCAACCCTGACATCGGCAGGGCCACAGCACCACACAGGAAGGCCAAGCCAGCTGGAGAGGCCACAGTCCTGAGGTGTGTGTCACCCTGATGTTTGTGGAGCCCCTTACAGCCAATGCTGGCGGTGCTGGGGACGCCCCTGTGGGAAAAGGAGATGAGTCCCTGTCCTTGGGGAAGAGCTTGCGGCTGTGTTCTTCTTGGTGGGCACCATGGCTGGGAAGGGGAATACAAATTCTGTCTCACCATTTATAACCCCTCCTTCAGGCCTCACGGTGAGGACCCGTCCAAAGCAGAGCCATGCCCAAAACAGAATACCCAACAAGGAAGCATGGTGTAAGCACAGCTCACTGACGGCCATTTAATACAGGGCTTCAAAATACCCAAGAGACCTTTGTGAGTCCATTGACTTGAAATGTCTAGAACTGGCCAATCCATAGAGATAGGAAGCAGATTTGTCGTTTGCCCAGGGGCCGGGGGCAGGAGGGGAATGGGAGGCAACTTCTCCTGGGTACAGGTTTTCTTTGAGGGGAGATGAAAGTGTTCCAAATTAGATTACAGTGATGCTTGCACAACGGGAAATTTACTAAAAACTATTTAACTGTGTACTTTCGATGGGAGAATTTATGGTATGTTAATTATATGTCAATAAAGCTGTTAAATATTTGAAGTCTCATGGGGAAAGGTTCCTGAAGGTATTCATCGGTATGTACATTCTGATTTCATTGTTTAAAAAAATATGCGCTCATATATAGTAGAAAGACTAGAAGGAAATACACCAAACATTAACAGTGGCTTTGTCTGAGTAAAGGAACCAAGAAAATGTTTTATTCCGCATGTGCGAACAGCCAGCGGGCAGGATCCATCTAAAGTTGGGGTGATGCTGCCATCCCAGAGTCCAGCCTCTGGACCAGCTCCTCCCTGCCCAAGGTGACCTGTGACTCAGCTGCGGCGGCATCCAGCAGCCAGGAGTCAGCCCCTCCCTGAGGCCGGAATGCTGTGGGCCTGCCGGGCGGGCAGGTGAGGCCGCAGCGGGCGTGGCAGGCAGGTGAGACCTGCGGGCCCCTCTGGCTGTGAGCTCCAGCCGGTTTCCCTCAAAGCAAGCAGGCAGGAGCCGAGGCAATTACCGCACAGGCAGGCAGGCGGGCAGCACCCCTCCCTCATTGCCAAGGAGAGGTCACCCCCGTGCCCTGGCCTGTCCCAGGAGCATCGTCTAGCAGCACAGTGGCCAGGCTGCGCTTGACCCTCCAGGAGGGGCCAGGAAGTGGAGCTGGCCCAAGAAGGAGGTGGGCAGGGGGCTGGGGCTGGGGCCTGGCCTGACTCTCGCTCTGAGCCCCCAACAGAACCACAGCCCCTGAGCCATGACGTTGCCTGTCTTGCGCCCTCTCATCTGCCCTCACCTGGCTTTCCACCTCCACCCCCAGCTATATCCAGAGCCTTCCAAAGGGCTTCAAGCCCTTCCTCCACCTGCCCCTCGGTCCCCCAGCCCCTAGCCCCACCTCCTCCTCCTGCCTCCCTCTGCTCCCTCACTAGCTTCCTGCTGCTCCGAAAGCCCTGGACCCAACTTCCACCTGTGGCTTCATGCTGCCACCCTCTCCCTGACAGTCGGTTCCTCCAGATATGCTTGTGCCTGGCCTCGCCGCCCCACCCAGCTTTTCCCCAAGGTCACTTGCATGGCAGCCTACCCTGACCACCCACCCAAGCAGGTGCACACACATGTGCACACACACATGCACACGCACCCACAGGCCTGCTCACCCAGCCCCTCCCCGTGCTGCCTCTCCCCAGCTCCGCTCTGTCCACCGTGTTTTGCCACCTGGTCATTTTGCTGGCTGCCCAGCTCTGCTGTTAGGACAGAAGCAGCACGGGGCAGGGAGTGCTGCCTCCCTGTTCCCGGTTGTGCCCTAGAGCTTTGCAAAGGAGCTGGCTCAACAAATAAATGGTGGATGAATGAATGAATGAGTGAATAGATGGATGAGTGAGTGAATGAATGGATGGCTGAGTGAATGAATGGATGGATGAGTGAATGAATGAATGAGTGGATGAGTGAATGGATGAGTGGATGAGTGAATGAATGAATGAATGGATGGACGAGTGAATGAATAGATGGATGAGTGAATGAATGAAGCGGGGCAGTGGTCCCGCCTATCACCTCTGGGCTGTGCACACAGCCTTGTAAGGGAAAGTGCCTGGGGAGTGGGGTCATTGCTGTAGGCACCGTCCGAGTCACTTGGTTATTCCTGGCCACAGAGGACATCCAAGGCTGGAGTGGGGCTGAGCGAGGGGGGACTGAGAGTGGGGTGGCCACCTGACCACACAGCAGGTTTGGGGGCTTGGGGAGGCCGTTGTGGGTGAGTTCAGCCCTGGTGGGAGCAAAGGGGTGTCCAGGGCCCAGGTGGCAGGTTTTCAGAAGGCAGGTGGGGTGCGCCAGGGGTCTGGGGTCAGGCCTCCTGGACACAGCGCTTGGGGACAGGAGGCCGAGGTCAGCCTGGCTGCTCTAGGAGCTCCCTGGCCCTCAATCAAGGGAGTCAGTCTCTAAATTGGGAGCTGAGTCCAGCTGATGGGGATGCAAAGGCGGACGTCTCTGTCTGCTCAGCCCCCGTGCAGCTGGTCGGGAGCCCTTCCTCAGGCCCCAACCACGCAGGCGACAGGTATGTGACCATGAATAAATACCCACAATTATCCCTCCCCTTCCGTTACCCTGCTGCAGGCTGCTGGACAGGGAGGAAGAGCAGCCTGGTGGCCCCTGCTGCCTCCAGAACCCAGGGGAGCCCTGGGGATCACAGGTGCAGCCAGCAGCGGGCACTGGCCAGGGAGGGCCAGGTCGATGACAGGCTCACAGTGTGGACCGGCTGTGGGCTCACCTCAACACAGAGAAGCCACTGGAGGGAGTGACGGACACCAGAGAACAGGGTTTAAATCCCAGCTCTGCCCCTTTCCAGCTGTGTGACCTCAGGCAAGTGACCTCACCTCTCTGGGCCTTGGTCACCTCCACTGCCAGAGAGGGTGAAAAATACTGGTCTCTCAGGGTTACTGCAAGGCACAGCCC